TGGTCTCTTGCTTTCATGTTGATTTCTGAGTAAAAACGAATTATCCTTAAAAGTCCAGTGTCAGGGCCTCTCCAGTGGCCCTCCCTATGTGTATGCCAAGCAACCAACTCCAAGAAGACCTGTCCTCTTCTTACAAAAAAAAAATATCTTATGTTCATTGAAGGAGACAGCAAGAATCTTGACCCTAGGAATCTCACTGTTTCTTCATGGACGACTTGGCAAACCAGAGAGGACATGAAGAGCCGAATTTTTGCAGAGTGAGAACTGTGATCACCAAGTTGTCCATCAGGGAAGAAGATTCTTGCTGGGCTGTGTCCTTCAATGAACTCGCGGAAAGGGATGAGTAGAAAAAAAAACCCTTTACTAGCTCCTTTGAGATAGAGACTGATGTGAATGTTTACCGTATTCCAAAAATACTTCAAGGTAAATGCTGAGGTGCTGTAGAAAACATGAGACAAAGATATGACACATCTACAAACAAATTTCTGACCAGTTTTGAAGAAATCAGAAATTCAGCACTTTTGTGGAATCTTTTGCTTCTCTCTCAGCTCACTTCTTTTCTGTTGACTAGTGCACAGTAAAATAATCGTTCTATTTTCTACGCAGGAGGAGGAGTGAAAAATTAGAGCAGGAAGAACTGACTTGGAGACTGCACTGTACATGACGAGTGAGGGACAGCACTGGAAACCTCAGGAGAAACGTCTCCTCTGTGGTCCCACAAAGATAATAGGAGCTAGTAGATATATTGGCTCTAGATTATCCATCCTTTAACTGGAATATCAAATTCGGTAGGCCTTCAAAGTGACCCTATGAGTGATGAAATTTGGGAGCTGCCATTGCTGGAAGACACCTTCGGGTCCGAAGGCTTTTCACAGTGGCGTAGTTCTTGATCCAGGTCAGTGACTAACTAGGTGGTTAAGTCTGAATCAGGATGACAACTGTGGAGCATGCACCTTTAAAAGCCAAGTCAGCGGTGGCATCCCTTTGAGCTTGGGTTACCTTTAAACTGACCTTTTTTCAAATGATGAAACCAAAGCCATAAAAATCAGACTTGTTGGAAAGGAAAAAGAGAGATAGATGGGATGATGCACTTACCATTTCCTGGAGGACATGTAGGGTAGGGGAGGGTCAAACTAGGATGCTGTGCAGGCAGCTGACAATCCTCCTTAACTGGTGATGCCACTGGTTGTCAGGATGCTGGTGGCTAGAGGGTTGTAATGGTGCATAGTAAAAAACTGGTGGCTTTTTGTAACTAAAAGGGAGGTTTGATCCACCCGATGACTTGTATACAAGTTTTTATGCAATTTTTGGACATTTGGCCAAGGCACCCCTGAAGAATTCTCAAGGAACCCCAGGGTGCCTGGGCATCCTGGTTGAGAAAGGCTGCACTAGACTCCTACCAGTGCTTGCAAATGAATAGCTAAACAGGGAAACACTGCCTGTTGCTAGCCCATTCCTCTCAGCAAGGTATACCCACCTATTCACACTCCCTCACCACTGGACTCCAGCCTGAGTAAGCTTACCCCAATAGATGACATCACAGCTCCCTCACGACGGTGTTCGGGTCTGACAATTGACTGCTCAAGCCCAAGCACTGTCACAAGACACTGTTCGGGCCCAGCGAATAGATACTCAAGCCTGTCACACTGAGGAGGTCACTTACTTTCCCAAACCCAGATGCCCTGTTTTTTTACAGCTACGAATCAGGGGTCAGATGGATTGGAGAGAAGGCATGGATGCATACCTACATCTTGCTGGGTTGGAGGCTATCAGGAGTTACTTCCACTTTTCCGTAAATTGGAAAAGTGTCACCTGGGGCCTCATGTGCAAGGAGCCTAAAAGTGAACCTGTTGCTTAACCTGCACAGCCAAGGCTGGTGATAAATGTGATTTGCAATGAGGTGACGGTTGAGGATAACAGGAAAAAAAGCCATCTGAGGTGGTGACAGTTCATGAAATAAATGATCACTTCATGAGAAATTACCACCAGGTAAGTGTTGCGAGAACTCTCCAGATTAGTGGTGGGCAACTAGCAGATCATGGCTTCCCTTCTAAAAAGAACACAATGAGAGAGAGCCTAGCACAATATCTCTAAAAAAATGTGTTCAAAAGAACATAAATAAATCTACTCACAGATGTCCAGACTGACAAAGCATGTCAAAGTAATACAATCAGATTGTCCACTCCGCTTCCTCCTGTGCTTGAGAGGACATCATCCAAGATCCTAATGGCTTATTTGTTTTGAGAGCCATACCCTGTTCCTTTTTGGTTTGGCTCTAAGGAAGAAGATACGTCCTTCGAAACATGTAAGCCATTAGGATCTTTGATGATGTCCTCCCAAGCCCAAGAGCAAGCAGAGTGAACGATCTGGTTGTATTACTTTGATATGCTTTGTCAGTGTGGATGTCTGTGAGTAGATTAATTTACGTTTTTATGAATAAATGGTTTTACGGATACTGCGCTAGGCTGGTGCACCCTCTCGTTGTGTTTTTAAGTTGTCTTTGGGACATCCCCAGTCTGGAGAGGGCAACAAGGCGCTGTGTGCATGTCAGGGATCCCCGCGGTGCTGGTCCCCCCGCAGGCGCACGCCGCCTTGTGCAGGGACGCGGGCACTAGGTCCTGGCCGGCCGCGGCGTCCGGGTTCGCGCATGCGCACTAGGAGCCACGGGCACGCGCCTGGCACCAATGACGGTGCAGGGCGCGATATTTAAACGGCCCTGAGCTGTCATTCAGTGCCTTCTGGTCTTACCTGCATTCCTGAACCGTTGAACCTGTATCCTGTAAGTTGCTGACCCGGATTGTACCTGACCACGCTGTATTCTCCTGCTCTGACCCTTGGCTTGCCTGACCTCTCTCCCGGATGCCCCCTATTGGATCTGACTTTCTGTTACTGACCTGGCGTGTGACCCGACTATTCTCTGCCTGCTGCTTTGTACCGCACTGTCCCCACGGCTACCGACCCGGTTTGTCTGACCTTGCACCTGCTCAGCCATCCATCCATCCCATCGGGGGTCACCCGACCTCCTCATATCAGGCTCTCCCCTGCGGGAGCCCCTGTCGAATACCCCTACCACTGACGGGCGTGCTCAGTAGTCACGACCTGGTCTCAGGGTACTCCAAGTCCATCCCCACCATCAGGGGCCCTGGTGAACAAGTGCTCTGGGGCTTAGATTCCATGCTCTGGGGACGCCTGATCAGTGGAGCGCTAGTGGTACCGCCGGGCGGTCCCTTACAGTGCGTATATTTCCAATTCTATATCAGATGTGCAACAAGTTCTGGAATCATACCACCACACTCATGCACAAGAGGTGCTATGTTTTATTCTCTGGCTTCCCTTCTTCCTGGCCATGACTTTCTGTCTACTCGGACAGCTACTTCTGTCACATGATGCTCCAATAGACCCCATCTCTGCTTCCCTTGCCCCACAGGCAACACAAAAAACACAACATGCATGCTCAACCACCTGCCTACCCCAGCTGCTAGGAAGCAAGTGAATGGCACCGTCCATGCCAACCATGGGCAATCAGAGCATGGGGGAGCTGAGGACGGTGTGCCAGAAGACCTATGGCCCAAGCTGCTAAAATGCAAACAAATTACACCTTCAATGCCAACCATGAGCAGCCAGAGCATGGGTGGGCAGATTTTGGGTGAACTAGAACATGCAATGCAGTACACCCATCTACATCATGCAGCAAAGGAGGAGGCACATTTCCACATCTTCACCATGGGCTCTGGATGAGCCTGTCTCAGTACTGGTGACAAGGTATTTTAAAAAAGGCCTCTTCGAACAAGCAAAACATGTAAAAATTTGGAAGTCCTTAGCGCCAATATTTTCTAATTTTCTCCATAGTAATCAATCATTTGTTATAGGAGTGTTGATGATTACCCATTATTATTCTATGTCTCTCGACTCCACAGTAATGCCTTTTGTGTCAAGTGACCCTACAAGAGTGTTTTTCTTCAAACACGTTCTTCAACGTTCATTGATTCCAGAGCTGTCTAGTATTTTTTTGCCTACATTTGAATATAGACAGAGTGAAATATCTGAAATGTGGTGACTCCTAATAGTAAGAGCCTTCACCGCACATATATTACACGGCCCGCTGAACAGCCCAAGGCTTGTGAAGCTGCTGAGTAATGCTATCATCCACTTTTGCTCTCCTACTTGGAGGATCAAGAGCCCACTTGTAGGGCAGATGAAGGATATCATGCTGTTCGTCACCGCTCTCTGAAAAACTGGAATTAGTCTTTATATTGCTGTACTTGTCTAGGTCGCCCACGTGGTGGTATTCCCAAGGCTTTTGTCGGTAGAAAACATTCCTTCCAACTCAAATAAGGGCAGCACAGCAGGTAAGTGGTTAGAACTCTTGCCTTGAAACATCAAGGTGCCAAAATCATTCCTTACAAGGAAAGATCCGCATTTATTTCCTGCAGGACCTCCTGCATCATCTAAGGAATATACACGTTGGCACCAGTTTTGATGGGCTTGTTCACATCGGAACTTCTTCTCCCTCCATACAAATCTATGGGAATGCGAAAGCCGGTCAAACGCAGTTCTGAAAAAAGATCAACGCCAGGTCATAGAACCCATCAATAATTTCTAATCTCAGAAGCATCTCAAACTAATGTCAAAAACAATCTCATCAACACAGCCCTAAGCCCATGAATACAAGCCCTTACCCATTGGCCTACTGGGACAATGTTTACATATTTTGCACACATTAAAATCTGTTTTTTTTTGCTAGAAAGTATTGTAAACCTCCAAACATTATATATTTTCTAAAAGCAGAGACCCTGGAGAATAAAATGGCTATTGCACAGTTATTTAATAAATATTTTCAGGAAAAAAATACGCTGAATTTATTTTTTTTAACCACCTTCCGCCCGCCCTATAGTACAATGACGGGCGCAAGGTGGTTCTCTCGTCTGATAGGATGTCATATGACATCCTACCATTCTCACTGCGCATGCGCGACTCAGAGAGCGCGCAGCGCGGTGTTCGCTGGTGCGCTGTGTCCCTCGGACACAGTGGATCACGGAAAGAGCCGAAGATGTGTCCAATCACAGCTGATCACATGTAAGCACGGAAATGCCGGTTATCGGCATTTCTCTCCTCTCGAGCTGTCACACTGACAGCTCGAGAGGAGAGGAGAGCCGGTAATCGGCTTTCCGTGGAGGGGACATGTACACTGATCATCAGGGCACTGATGATCAGTGTGCCCTGATGATCAGTGTGGCCCCAGAAGTGCCACTTGTCAGTGTCCATCAGTGCCACGTGCCAGTGCCCATCAGTGCCACATCAATGCCACATAGTGCATACCAGTGCACATCAATGCCACATATCAGTGCCCATCTGAGCTGCCTTTCAATGTCACCCATCAGTGCCAGTCAGTGCCACCTATCAATGCCAATCAGTGCCACCTATCAGTGCTGCCAATCAGTGCCACCTATCAGTGCCAGTCAGTGTCGCCTATCAGTGCGCATCAGTGCCACCTATCAGTGCCAGTCAGTGCCGCCTAACAGTGCCAGTCAATGCTGCCTATCAGTGCCAGTCAGTGCCTCCTATCAGTGCCATATATCAGTGTCATGTATCAGTGCTGTCTTTCAGTGCCCATCAGTGATGCCTGTCAATGCCCATCAGTGCAACCTACCAGTGCCTCCTCATCAGTGCCCATCAGTGCCACCTATCAGTGTCCATCAGTGCAGCCTATCAGTTCCCATCACTGCAGCCTCATTAGCACACATCAGTGAAGGAGAAAAATCACTTATTTACAAAATTGTATAACAAGAACTAAGAAAAAATGTTTTTTTTTCAAAATTTTCAGTGCTTTTTGGTTTGTTTAGGAAAAAAAAAAATCCCAGAGGTGATTAAATACCACCAAAATAAAGCTCTATCTGTCTAAAAAAAAAATGATAAAAATTTCATATGGGTACAATGTTGTATGGCCGCGCAATTGTCATTCAAAGTGTGACAGCGCTGAAAGCTGGAAATTGGCCTGGGCAGGAAGGGGGTGAAAGTGCCCTGTAGGCAGGAAGGGGGTAGAAGTGCCCTGTAGGCAGGAAGGGGGTAGAAGTGCCCTGTAGGCAGGAAGGGGGTATAAGTGCCCAGTAGGCAGGAAGGGGGTAGAAGTGCCCGGTAGGCAGGAAGGGGGTAGAAGTGCCCTGTAGGCAGGAAGGGGGTAGAAGTGCCCTGTAGGCAGGAAGGGGGTAGAAGTGTCCTGTAGGCAGGAAGGGGGTATAAGTGTCCTGTAGGCAGGAAGGGGGTAGAAGTGCCCTGTAGGCAGGAAGGGGGTAGAAGTGCCCTGTAGGCGAGGGGTTAAAGGTGTTTATTTTAGTTTTTGCATAAAGATACAAAGTATGAGAAGGAAGGGGGTAGAAGTGCCCTGTAGGCAGGAAGGGGGTAGAAGTGCCCGGTGGGCAGGAAGGGGGTAGAAGTGCCCTGTAGGCAGGAAGGAGGTATAAGTGCCCGGTAGGCAGGAAGGGGGTAGAAGTGCCCGGTAGGCAGGAAGGGGGTAGAAGTGCCCTGTTGGCAGGAAGGGGGTAGAAGTGCCCTGTAGGCAGGAAGGGGGTAGAAGTGCCCTGTAGGCAGGAAGGGGGTAGAAGTGCCCTGTAGGCAGGAAGGAGGTAGAAGTGTCCTGTAGGCAGGAAGGCGGTAGAAGTGTCCTGTAGGCAGTGTCCTGTAGGCAGAAGGGGGTAGAAGTGTCCTGTAGGCAGGAAGGGGGTAGAAGTGTCCTGTAGGCAGGAAGGGGTAGAAGTGCCCTGTAGGCAGGAAGGGGGTATAAGTGCCCGGTAGGCAGGAAGGGGGTAGAAGTGCCCTGTAGGCAGGAAGGGGGTAGAAGTGTCCTGTAGGCAGGAAGGGGGTACAAGTGCCCGGTAGGCAGGAAGGGGGTAGAAGTGCCCTGTAGGCGAGGGGTTAAAGGTGTTTATTTAGTTTTGCATAAAGATACAAAGTATGAGAAGGAAGGGGGTAGAAGTGCCCTGTAGGCAGGAAGGGGGTAGAAGTGCCCGGTGGGCAGGAAGGGGTAGACGTGCCCTGTAGGCAGGAAGGGGGTATAAGTGCCCGGTAGGCAGGAAGGGGGTAGAAGTGCCCGGGAGGCAGGAAGGGGGTAGAAGTGCTCTGTTGGCAGGAAGGGGGTAGAAGTGCCCTGTAGGCAGGAAGGGGGTAGAAGTGTCCTGTAGGCAGGAAGGGGGTAGAAGTGTCCTGTAGGCAGGAAGGGGGTACAAGTGCCCTGTTGGGCAGGAAGGGGGTACAAGTGCCCTGTAGGCAGGAAGGGGGTAGAAGTGTCCTGTAGGCAGGAAGGGGGTACAAGTGCCCTGTAGGCAGGAAGGGGGTAGAAGTGTCCCTGTAGGCAGGAAGGGGGTAGAAGTGCCCTGTAGGCAGGAAGGGGGTACAAGTGCCCTGTAGGCAGGAAGGGGGTAGAAGTGCCCTGTAGGCAGGAAGGGGGTAGAAGTGCCCTGTAGGCAGGAAGGGGGTAGAAGTGCCCTGTAGGCAGGAAGGGGGTAGAAGTGTCCTGTAGGCAGGAAGGGGGTAGAAGTGTCCTGTAGGCAGGAAGGGGGTAGAAGTGCCCTGTAGGCAGGAAGGGGGTAGAAGTGCCCTGTAGGCGAGGGGGGTTAAAGTGTGTTTATTTAGTTTTGCATAAAGATACAAAGTATGAGAAGTACAGTACGCGGCAGGGATGCCCACTCTCTCCCCTATTGCTTATCCTCTGTTTGGAACCATTGGCTATTGCAATTCGGTCTCATCCCGACATAAAAGGGAGAAAGTCTCATGGCCGTGAATACAAACTATCCCTATTTTGCGGATTATATTCTCCTTACTCTTTCGAATCCCCAAATCTCCCTCCCAGCATTACATAAACTTTTACGACAGTTTGGGACTCTCTCGGGTTACAAACATCCAAGACTGAAGCCCTCCCACTCCACATACCACCAGTTGTCCTCTCATCCCTCCAAGACTCCTTTCCATATCCATGGTGCACCCATTCTTTAAAATACTTGGGTTCTAATCTTACTTCTTCTTACAGTTCTATCTATGATGCCAATCCCCCCCCCCCCCCCCCCCCATTTATAGCTGTTTCCCGTTCCTTGAAGTTTTGGGATACCCTACCCTTATCATTCTCGGGACGTATCAACGTCATAAAGATGACTGTACTACCCAAACTTTTGTATTTATTTGCGACTCTACCCGTTCCTGTTCCTATTTCCAAACACAGTAGAGCTAATGAGCTCAAGTATTGGTGTCACTAAAATGAATTTTAGTGCAAACACAATATCGTACCCATTTTTTTGTAAAATCTAAGGCACTAGATTGTGTCAATAGATACCAAACATATCAAGTCTTTAAACTGCGCATGCCTGTGTAATTGCAAAAAAATTATGGTACCCAAAATTCTCCATAGGTGACACTTTAAATGCATTTACAGGTGATCAGTTTAGAGTTAACCATGAATTACTGAAGCACTTTGAGAGCCCCATAAATAAGATTGGGTGGCTCTAGAGCCACCTGGATCACTTTTAGCAAAAAGAGCTTTGCCGGTTCTTAACCACTTGCCCTCCAGAGGATTTACCCCCCCCTTTCCTGACCAGGACATTTTTTGCGATAAGGTGCTGCGTTACTTTAACTGACAATTGTGCAGTCATGCAACGCTGTACATTAATGAAATTTATGTTGTTTTTCTCCCATAAATAGAGCTTTCTTTCGGTGGTATTTGATCACCCATGCGGTTTTTATTTTTTGCACTATAGAAAAAAAAATGACTGACAATTTTGAAAAAAAACCACAATATTTTTGACTTTTTGCTTTAAAACATATACAGTAAAAAAATTAAAAAAATCAAATATCTTTATAAATGTATTCTGCTCAATGTCTGCTAAAAAAAATTCTAGTACAGTGAAAGTTATTGCACCTACAAATGGCGGTATATATACTGGAATAAAAAAAAATGTTTATACTAGTAATGGCGGCAATCAGCGACTTATAGCAGGACTGCGGCGGGCATTCTGACACTGGGAGGAACTGACTAACTGCCACTGACATTGCAATGGCACTAATACAGTGATCAGTGCTAATAAAAAAGCACTAACTCTGTACTAATGACAGTGGGCAGGAAGGGGTTAACCGCTTCCCTACCGCCCTATTGCGGAAGTACGGCTACAGGGCGGCAGGGCTGTACAAAATCACGTAAATATGTGATTTTACATTTCCGGGTATGGAGCGCGCGACACCGCCATTGGCAGCTTCAGATGTCGATCACCGAGTCCCGGCTGGAGATTCCCCGCTGGCACCCGGCGATTGCCAAGGAACTGTGACAGGGGAGAGACCTGTATGTAAAGAACAAAGGTCTCTCTCCTGCCAGTAGTAACATGCTGCTGTGTATTTCTCTGCACAGCAATGAAATACACAGCAGCATGTCTCCCTAGTAAAATACACACAGCACACAGTTAACCCTTTGATCACCCCAGATGTTAAAGCCGGTACCAATCTCACGGCTCCAGCAGCAGCCATGTACTTGATTTAACCATTTGTATACCATGTTGTTTATAAACATACCTTGGTAGACAAGTGGTTAAAGCTGAATTCCAGATATGGCCATTCCTATATAGTTACATTGGACCAACATGGATCAATGTATGTATGTGTCATACCTGTGGGATTCCTGTGGTAACTGGAAATCATTGTAGTAGGCACCGCTACTACCGTGGCACTAGCTCTCGGGTCCCACCGAGCGGATGTCCTGCTGCTTACTGATCGAGGTGGCTTGCTTGGCATGGGCCCCATTCAGAAAGCAATTAGCATTTTCTTACTTAAGGCATAGTGTACTCTGACTGGACGAGGTGGTGAATTTGACCTCATCACCCCCCCCTCCTCTCCACCTTGCCCAATCACAGAATGCTTTGCATTCGTTGAGAAAATGCAGCATGTTACCCAGGGGCGGACTGACAACTCATGGGGCCCCCAGTCAATAGGGGATCGTGGGGTCCCTGTGTCCTTGCCCAAGCTCAAAAAAGCCTATGAAAAAGGTACCAGGGGGATCTCATGGGGCCCCCTACTGACCCGGGGCCCTCGGGCAGTGCCCGAGTTTCCAAATGGTCAGTCCGCCCCTGATGTTACCTGAATGGCACACATGCTGGGTGAAGGACCTTCTGTGGTCACAATGCAACAGAGCAGCCACTTGGCACAGGACCTGGAAGCTAGTGGAGATCACTGTAGCAGCTGTTGGGGGTCACCCTCCACAGGGATCCCTCAGGTAAGTTGTAGTGATGTAAAAATTGCCATACCTAAACTTCAGTTTTAAAAGCTAAGTAAATCTTTCACAGGGTGTTTCATGTTACATCCATATTAGGGTGTAATATATAACATGAGGACATTCTTAAGCCCACCTCACCCCCCAAACCAACATAACCCCACTTATCTGCAGGTATTCTTCTCCCCGCAGGCTTCTGTTTAGTTTCGAATGTGTGGCTCCACCCACACAGCCGCATCATTCATTGACAGGGATCACCACGGCCATGGGACTCATAGATCTCAATAGAACACAAGCGTGGTGACGTCACCAGGGGCGGACTGACCATTTGGAAACTCGGGCACTGTCCTAGGGCCAGGAGTCAGTAGGGGGCCCATGAGATGCCCCTGGTACCTTTTTCATAGGCTTTTTTGAGTTTGGGCAAGGACACAGGGGCCACATGATCTCCTATTGCCGGGGGCCACATGAGTTGTCAGTTGTCCGCCTCTGGAGGTCACTGCACTTGTAGTCCATTGATACTTCCTCCAGCTCCATAACTGACCTCGGTACAGACCTGGGGTTGGAGGAATAGTCTGCAGGAGCCTGTGTATTGAATCCACGATCCACTGATTGCAGTTGCTTTTCAAGCTCTAATGCTAAAAAAAAATAAATAAAATAAATGCACATTTTGGGGTAATTTATTAAAACTGCCTGGTGCAGCTTTCAGGTTTTATTGTCAAAGCTTCATTGAACAAGCTGAAGTTAGAAGTGGATTGGCTAACATGCGGAATGGGCGCTCTCCAAGAAGGCCTAAAAGTGGTACGTGCGGAAAAGACTAATAATGGAAACCAAGGGTGAAAATGAGACTAAATATATATATATATATATATATAAAAACAATATATATATAAAAATATATATATATATATATATATATATATAAAAAAAAAAATATATATATATATATAAAAAATATATATATATATATATATATATATATATATATATATATATATATATATATATATATATTATATATTTTATATATATGTATATATATATTTTGTTTTTTATATACATATATGCAATATATATATATATACATATATAAAAAATATATATATATATTTTTTTTAAATATATATATATATATATATATATATATAAAAAAGAAAAAAATATATATATAGTCATTCGATTGTAAGCTCTTTTGAACTTTTGGGCTCCACGGGCAGATGTGAATGATCTATGTCACGGGTATCAAACTGGCGGCCCTCCAGCTGTTGCCAAACTACAAGTCCCATGAGGCATTGCAAGACTGTCAAAGGCAGGGCATGATGGGACTTGTAGTTCTGCAACAGCTGGAGGGCCGCTGGTTTGACACCCCTGATCTATATACTCTGCATGTGTTGTGGCATTTGCTGCCATTGTACAAATAAGTAAATTATAATGTGTCTGAGGTCCGTAATTACAAGACCACTGTTCCTGACACCACAGCTGCTAGCTCTGAAGCGTAACTGGAAATCTTAAAGCGGTAATAAACCCAAAACCAAAAAATTTAGTATATAGCAGCTTTCCAATCATTAGATGTGATGCATTAGTTTTCTTTTGATAGATTTTTTTCCTTCTGTTTTCACCTTGTGATCTGGCCAGCAACACACCTCCTGTATTAGAGCACCCCCCACTCTGGATGATGGAGCACAGGGGACACTTTTGTACAGAATTTCAGTCTGGGGGGGAGGGGAGTTTTTGATGTACTAACAGATATAAATACACTGACAAACTGAAGCCAAACTCCAGCTCACACTTGATAAGAAGTTACAGCAGTGTTTTTTTTCTTTCGGGATAAAGGTTTTACATAAATAAGTAAATGCTGACCATTGTAACCCCCCCCGTGTCAGTAGTAAATGGTTGGTCTTATTTCTGTAACTGCTACATCTGCAGGACAGCTTGTTTTATTGAAAAAAAAAAACCAACAGACCTATTGGGCAAATCACCAGATGAAAATAGAAGATAGAAAGCCTATATGAGAAAACGAATGCAGTCATCACATCTAAGAATTGGTAAGCTGCAATATGATAAATGTTTGCTTTGGGTTTAAAGTGGTTGTAAAACCAATTTGATTTCCTAAAATAAAAAGGATATTATACTTACCTGCTCTGCGCAATGGTATTGCACAGAGTGGCCCCGAACCTCCTTGTCTGGAAAACTTACCGGAGCTCTCCTCTCCTTCTCTTCTCAAAGTGCCCCATAGCAAGCCATTGCTAGGGGGCACTCGTGCGGGTGCACTCCTGAGCTGGGCTGTGTGATTCTATAGATACACCCAGCATGGCTTGGCCCTGCCCCTCCTCACAGAATTTGACTGATAGCAGCAGGAGCCAATGGCTTCCATTGCCGTCAAAGCCTTCTCTGAAGATAGTGTAATGCCCTCCAGGTTAGAAGGTTTTTTTGTTAGATAGAGGCTGAGTAGCAGCCTGGGGATGAATCAGCCTGGGAGTGAGGTAGTGAGGTTACCTCAGGACAGGTTGGGAGGCTCTATCAGGTCAGGGCTTCTGGAGCCTTCCCACCTCTCCAGAAACCTGAGGGGTGGAGGAGGCCCAGGTCTGTATGCTTGAGGGATCCTGGCCCATCTCCTGGCAGGAGGCTGGGCTTGGTGACCAGGGCAACCCTCAAATATGGCAGAGCTTGGGGGGAGGTGTGCCGTGTCGGGTGGAAGTTAAATTGAGGAAGGCTGGAGTGCGGAGCCTGGGAGGGGGCCCCAGGGAGGGAAGCCTACCTACAGGAAGATCACTGGAAAAGAGGATCTACACTGCCTCAAGGTCTCCCAGGGAGGACGGCCTTTGTAGCAGGAAAGGAGCCGGCCCGTAAGGCCTGAAGGCAGCCACCAATCCACCAAGCTAACAAGAGAGCACAGTGTGAGTACTCTTACACCCTCTGGGCCGGATAAGGGGAGAGAGCAGTCAGGTGCAATATCCAGCTAGCTTCTCATCTGGGACTATTCTAAACTTTCAGCTTCTGGGCCCCCTTGCCCAAGATACCCTCAGGCAGCTGGGTGAAGAGGAGGATTCATCCGGGGTCTGGAGAGGTACACCAAAGAGGTACACCAGAGAGGAAAGACTGTTGAAGAAGTTGCTGTGGAGTTGTCCTCAAGTTCTGCAGTTCCTTGGGCATCCCATATCAGTGGTGTATTTAGATTCTGTGCTGCCCTAGGCAACACAAAAATCGGACCCCCCCCCCTCCCAATCAGAGAGAGAGCCTGACACCGACCAACACCAGAACCCCCTTCGGAGAGAGCTTGACTGTGATCAACAACGCCCCTGCCCCCAACCGAGAGAGTCTTCCACTAGCACCCACATCAACAGCTCTGGACATCAGCTTCACAACTCTGGACATCCCTGGGAACGACAACTGAGCTCTACATATACCATGCCGCATATGTCCCTTCTTCCAGGGTGCTGCCCCCCTAAAAATGCCGCCCTAGGCAAATGCCTTGTTTGCCTTGTGGTAAATATGCTCCTGTCCCATATACCCCAAACCCCATCCAAGTTTTAACCCCTTAATAAAATCACAAAACCAAGCTCAAGGACTCTTCTTTGACTCTAGAGTGTAAAGTGTGGGAAATGTGTTGCCTGGCCGTGCAGAACATAAGGGGACCCAATTCAAATCCAGCAGCCCCTTCGAGGGTAGTGCTACAACTGGAAAAGGGTAGAAGAGCTGCTGCAGACGGGACAACGTTGGATTGAGAGAAGACTCAGGTAAGTGTTGAAGGGGTGGCCGGGGAAAGCAGCTATTGAAAGCTTTTATTACCTTAACCACTTCCCATCCGGACGTTGTATATAAACAGCTGGACGTTGGCAGTGCAGGGGTGGGTTGCCGTTTATAAACGATGCC